TCATATTTAGGTTATTCACTAAAATATACACTAAAATATATCATTTAAATCGTTCATGGAGATGAATGCAGTAAATAGTCTGTATAAAAAGTTAAAAAATAAACCTGTGCAAACAAGCATACCTTTATAACCAGATTATTTAACAAAAGATGATACTGCAGTAAAATATTTGTAGTCTTTTAATAAGCAAGATGTGTACAGGATAGAGAGGATGTGAAAAGTGAATTGTTTGTTTTGAAACTTTTGAATCGGAATTTGTCCAATTATAAACCCGAAATACACGTGTTTGTTGTCATGTGGTGAACTCGGCCAATCGTGTAATATCGGTGTCGTCATCAAAGCTCCTGCAGTCGCTCTTCAAATGCTGCACGGTCTGAGTTTGCCGTCTGATCTCGGAGCGCTGTCGCGGTACTTTGATGCCACATGTGACAGTCACGTGGCGTCGGCGCAGCATCAATCCGGACAAGATTTCTAACCAGAATGCACCGCTTTAAGACAGATTTCGATCGATCTGCGCAGCGCTGCATGAAGTCGAACGCACCTAATAACTACATGAACACAACACAACAGTATAGTGATGCATTTTGAAAATCTTAGAATTAATTTGTATTGCATGTATATGTTAAGCTTAAAAACGGTTATGTTTATGTGAATTTCAGCCAATCTTGAAGCAATGTGACTTGTTTGTTTGACATTAGTATGTGTCTAACTTGTATGAGCAAGTTGTGTATTGTTTGTATAAATTTGTACACAGTAAGCAAGTTACTTATAAATATGTCATGTTATGAAGTTAGTTATGTGGGCTTTGTTTTTCTTGACCTTGAACACAGTGCTTAAGTCCCATGTAGACTGCCAGCAACTTTATCGCTGCTTGTCGGCACTGGCTGATGGTTAGGTCGTAAGTGGGCATTCCAGTTGCCTAGTTACATTTTTGAATGATGTTTACTCCCTTTTGTATTATATGAATTGGTTTTCTTGCTGCCAAAAACAAACATTTGAGGGGAACTGCTTCATAAATTGTTTAATGTGAACAATGAATTGAGAACAGTGGATGGTTTTTGCCATTGCAGTAAGATATCTTGGTAACATGTGGCAACAAAAGCACTGTAAGTGTGAATGGAGCTTAATAAAAAAATTAAGCCTAATGCAAAGGCTGTTTTAGAGAGTTTTCCTAGGCAAATCCTAGACTAAATAAGACAATATTTTCTGCTTCTTAAATTCATAAAACTATAATGAGTAAAGGCTCCTACACACCGGGACGCTTTTCATATGTGTTTATCATCAGTGTTTTACGAGACGTTTTTCTGCATTTAAACTTAATCGATTTTCACTGGCATCAAGCAGAAGAGTACGCAAAATCACTCCTTGAAGTTAGATGGCGCTACTCAACTTTGAGCTTCCGAAACCCGCTTGTAACACAGAAGAAGAGGAAGAGAGGAAGTTCACATGCTTGTTGTTAAAGTTTCTGGTGAATCGAACAAGCATAGATGATTTAAATAGCAGCTCCTGCTCTAGCGATGAAAAAATGATTAATGTTCACAGAGCAATAAGCAGATCCACGTTTATATAATCTCTGGGCATCTTCTTTAATTTGCGCTTGCATTGACACTTGAGCGCCTCCAAGTGCTGTTTACAGTAACTGCAGCAGCTCTGTGCACGTGAACAAAAGTGCCTTCCTGTTTGGTGGAGAAGGTTTTAACGCAGCGCGTCAAATAAAAAAAGCGAGCATGAGGCGTTTTTTTTTTTTTTAAATGGAGCTTTTGCACCTGGTGTTTTGCGCGTTGGTGTGCACAATCACATTGACGCCCTTTATTTAGTCACGAGGCACTAAAAGTTGATGGAAAACATGAGCAAATAACGTCTCGATGTGCACGGGCCTTTAAGGAAACACTTTAGTCAAACAAAGAACCTGTTCTTCATTTATCCTTGCATCATATTGGAAACAAGTAGAAGCAGTCCAATCGTTGTGTGACTTCATCTAAGATTTAAGCTTGGTGTATTCAAGTTATTATGCTAAAAATAATAATACAAAATTTTTAAAAAGTTACTAATTACAAGGCTGCATACATGTGCACGCGATATGTATGTCTATGTTGTCCGCATGCAGTGCATGTTGTGCACAGGTGATATGTTTGTCTATGCCATACACAGGTGCTAATTATGTTGAGTGCATGCAATATGTAGGTGCACTGCATACACAATATTTATGTGCGTGCACACGCAATACTTATGTCGTGCACACGGGATACATAACAAATGCAAAAGTCTTCATTAATCCTTTTTTTTTTTGGCAAATGCCACTGTAGGGACTCCTTTCATATCAGATGTACAATCCTGTTTCTCAATTTAGCTTTTCTTTAACTGGGGTAGCCACAGCGAAATGAACCACTAACTTATCTAGCACAAGTTTGACGCTGTGGATGCCCTTGCAAGGAAAAAAAATAATAATAAAATAATATATATATATATATATATATATATATATATATATATATATAGTGTTATTATTATTATTATTATTATTATTATTATTATTATTATTATTATATGTCAATAGTTTTGAATTGGCATTCAAGACTCATGGCACGTGACAAACTTAATATTGAGAATCCATTACTTCAGTCTACTTGGACCAATAAATAAAACTGCTTTCCATTGATGTATTGCTTGTTAATTACAATATTTGATTGAGACAAAACTATTTGAAAATGTGGAGTCTGAGGGTTAAATAATAAATAAATAAATAAATGAATGAATGAACGAATGAATGAATGACAAACGTTCAAACGTTTTGAAGTTGCTAAGCAACTAATTTGAGTGCTGATATATTTACAGTAGGACATTAACAAAATATCTTCATAGAACATAATCTTTGCTTAATATTATAATCAATTCTGGCTTAAAAAAAAACTATAATTTTTAACCATGCAATCGATTTTTAGCTATTGCTCATTTTTTGATTTTTAATGTGGCAAACCTAATTGTTTGAAAATTAATATGCATTGCTAAGAATAAAATTTGGACAATTATAAAAGCAGTTTTATTTTTTCAGTATTATAACTTTTATAATCATCAGATTCCAGTTATTCGAAGTATTATCTCAGCAAAATATTGTTCTATCCTAATAAACCACATATCAATAGAATCAATCTCAATTTTCACAAATCTTCACTTCTGAGGGATTTTTTAGTCCAGGGACAAATTTAAGGATTTGAATTGAAATTTTATAACTGATGTTTAAAACAATTGCTTTACGACTGCTAATCAGTCCTATTATTACAAATGTGGAAATATTGGGATATTTACATTCAATTACCTTTCCTAAAATTATTTTGAAAAATCACAGCATAAAACTTTGAAGTTTTCGACAAATAAAAATATTTTAGTGTAGACACCCAAAAATTACACTCAGGATGCATATACTGTATAGTTTGCAAACAAAAGCCGCATGAAACTAGGAAATGAGAATCAAGACACCACTCTGTTGTAATCCACAAACCAAGATTGCAAAAAATATGTATGCATTGGCTGCAGTATATCAATATGTGAAGTTGGGCTGAATTCAATTAAAGTGCTAATCAGACTGAATAGACCCGCAGGTCTGCTGGAAACGCACAGCTGCTCGACCTCTGTATTTAGATGTGTTGTTATTTTTTGTCAGTGTCTGCAAAGACTGGAGGCAGGAGAGAGAGAGAGAGAGAGAGAGAGAGAGAGAGAGACTGAGAGAGAGAGCAAGAGAGAGAGTTGAGGAAGTTTGACATTCAGGGCTGAGCTGGTGAATAAGGAATAAGGAGCAATAGTGGAACGTTCTATTTGATTGGTGTTGCGGTTCACCCTCAGGGCTGTAAACACTTCTGATTCTTTTTTGGCTGTTTTGTTCCACACTCGGGATTGTTTTGGGAAACCTTCACTCCTGCATTTGTATTCCATATAGGTCGTGTTGGAATATTTTTTTTATATGATTTTCTTTTCATTTGAGTTCAGTTCACCAGGGGTAAAGGTTTTCATGAATTTGCATTGCTGTTATAAACATTGAATATACAGTAAGGTCTGAAATACACTTGTTATTCGGTTTCATTCTTTCTTTCTGAATTCAATCTGGGAAAACCCCTAAATCAGCTCTCTAAAAAATAAATAAAGTAGATTTAAAAGATTCACAGCACAATTATCAAATAAATCATATTAGAAAGAAACAAATAAACAAACAAAAATTATATATATATATATATATATATATATATATATATATATATATATATATATATATATATATATATATATATATATATATATATATATATTTTTTTTTTTTTTTTTTTTGTCTGCTTTCAAATACAGTCATACAGTATATATAAATGTACTCTCAGTATTGTCAGGTCAGAAATAATTCATATACAATGTTTTTATTTATATATTTAAACACTTTACTCAGGAAGGATTCTCTTTATTACATGCCTATAATTAAAACTAAATTTATTTGTTTATTAGTAAAGTACATATTTTGCATGATCATATTCTACATTCATAATATTACCTCATACCTAAACCCAACTACTACCTTAATAGCTATTTATAAGCAGCACTTAATAATATACTAAATACTTACTAATAGTTATTAAGGTTATTGCCTCTTTGAGTACTAATAAACAGCCATTATTTTAATAAGGTAATAGGTTATAAAGTAGTATAAGCCACGAGTAAATATATATATATATATATATTTTGGACAAGCTTGCATTTCCGGTCTGCTGAATGAATGGAAGTCTATGGGGTGAAAAGTGCAGTGTGACTACGGTTTAAGAGCAGAGTGTGAAGGTTAAATTAGAAGAGTATTGCACAGTTTTGCTTAAAATATTGCAATGCACAAAACTTTACACTTTTAAAGTATTTAAAATATTTTTTTTTCAATAAATCAAGTTAAAAATCATGCCCAGTTTATTGCTTATTTTCCTGTACAAAATGTCACTAAGGCTTTAATATGCTTTCTTTTTTCCATGCAGATAAAGTTCTTAAAGATGGAGATGGAAAAGAAAACGAAAATCATCAAAGACCTTCAGCAAGAGGTACCTTTTTAATGTTTAAAGCCAAGGAAGTATTATTAATGTATTAATTCTGAAGTTAAGCAATACTGCCTCAGAACATCAAAGAAAAAAGATGCCGTCTCTATTTTAACAGTCATGGAATTTATAGGATATGTGAGATTAAACGCAATTGAATAAATCAAGGGAGAAAATCATTACCAGCCACACAGTTGTTTTTGCCAATGGCTTATCATAAATTAAGAAAGAAAATATAAAACTGGCTTTTTTTTTTCTTTCTCGGTGGAGATTTATATTATGAATACTATGATATGCAGTTTAATTGCATATTTGCAGAAGAAAGATGTGCAGTCTTTAATTGAACATAAATTAAACTCTTGGCTTTAGTTCAAGTTAAGCCATAGATGATGACAATCAAATATGATTTGTTTAAGAATGTTGTATCACTTACCTTGTCTGAGTCACTTAAACTTACTCAACTATATCACTTAAGTATAACGAAATACATCCTTAATTAATTATCATTTACTCACCCTCATTTTAAGCTTCTCTGGTCTTATTGTAAGAACAAAAAACAAAAACAAAAAAAAAAGCTGAAAGTGAGCATTTTCACTTTTACATTCATTCATTAATTTTCCTACAGCTTCCCATAAAGCCAAAATGTCCCTTATTTAACAGGGGTCACAAACTATGAACCACCAACTATGTCAGCATATGTTTTACATAGCAGATGCCCTTCCAGCCACAACCAATTAATGGGAAACACCCATACACTCTCAAACTCATACACTACAACCAATTTAGTTTATGAAATTATCCCATACTGCATGTTTTTGGACTGTGGTGGAAATTGGAGAACCCGGAGGAAACCCATGCCAACATGGCTAGAACATGAAAACTCCACACAGAAATGCCAACCGGCCCAGCCAGGACTCTAGCCAGTGATCTTCTTGCTGTGAGGTGACAGTGCTAACCACTGAGCCACTGTACTTCCTCAATTTTACATATATTAACTAAATTAAAAAAAAAAATTATGTTAACTTATATGCAGCCTTTTATAATAAGGCTCCATCTAGCATTAGTGTCATGAAGAATGGTCCATGAGGAAAATGTTTATTGAAAATAAAACGAAAGACATGGAAACAAAAGAGCCACACACAAAAACAGGACTACAACCCACAGAGAGCAAATGACAAACACTCACTGAAACACAAGGGCTATTTATGCAGGTGACAGCAATTAGGCTAATCAAGCAGATGCGATAACAAGGGGAAGATACAATGACTCACCAGGGCAACTAACTGTGCTAAGCATGACAAATAACTTGTGGTGTAAAGTAAAAAACTACATAAATACTCATACTACTGTAATTAAGTAGTTTTTCAGGAATTGTAATTTACCAAGCACTTTTAAAAATGTGCACTTTGTACTTTGGGGAAAGTAATTTTTAAGTGCTGTATTGGTACTTTTACTTCGCTACTTTCCGACAACCTGCAGTCACAACTTATTTTTTTCTTGTCTATGAGGTTTAGAAAACATCCAACCTAAAGTCAAATAAATATCAACATCTAATAATGTAGTGGATGTTACCACTATGGCATCTATCAGATGTTGGATTTTGGTTGCCATACCTGAAGAATAAATGTCATTTTTTGATGTCAATATGACATTGGTTTAAGATGCTAGCTTGAAGTTGGATTTAAGTCACTTTCTAACATAACCTAAAATAAATCAAATATAAGCATCATTTGAAGTCCTTATTGGACATCAAAATAAGATTGTCCTTAGACGCTGGCTAGACATTGAATTTTGTTCATCTGACATCACAACCTAATAAATCTAACCTAATATTAGCATCTTATGACATTGTGTGCCTGCTGAGCAATAACTAAATTCACAACAGAATGTTACGTTTACACACATCCACAAATTAAATGTAAATGCATCAGCTTTTTACAGCTAAATACTCAATAATCTTGAATACTTTTGAAAGGTCTACTTTTTACTCAAAATTTGAGTAATACTTACAACGAATACTTTTACTCTACTTGCATGACATTTTTAGGCAAGTAGTAGTACTTTTACTGAAGTTTTTTTTTTTCATTACTGTTTTCACCACTTTATCCAAATACTGTAGTATCTTGTATTTTTTAAATACTGTAAAGTACTTTGTAAGATGTCTACATGATGACATTATAAAAATGCAGCCTCTGACTGGTGCTTTCTCAGTTATTTGCCTAGGCTTGACACCAGAACAGAAAATTTATGGATGGAAAGTACTGTATGTATCACTCATAAAGACAATAACAGACAAATGACGGGGTATATTTGCGAGCAAATCCACAACCATTAGTAATACAATACTGCACAAAGCAACCAGTCATATATAATGACAGTAGAGTGTACAAGTCATCAGCATCTCTGCTTAGGAAATTAGATGGAATAAAATATCAGTCCAAAAACAGGAATACAGAGCCAACAGCATATAATCATTCTCAGTCTCAGTGCTGCAGATGGAAATGCAAAGGAAGTTCAGAAAAAAAAAAAAAAAAGATGGTTCACTTGTGCTCACTAAGGGGGTGAACAGCGACACTTCCAGTTAAAGAAGTAAAAGAAGGAATGTTGGAGAGTGCACAAACAATAGTAGCTTTACATGGATTACAGATGTAGATGCTAAGAAAATAAGACAAACAACATTAAAGTAAGCCCTACAGTGATGATACCTACAGTGCGTCATTTGCTGTTTCAGATGCCAGTAGCTGATCTGCAGGTTGTGCATTGTAGAGTGCAATTGCAAAAAAAAAAAAAACATGATTTATTGAAATGACCAAAAATTAAGAAATGAAACTTTAGAAATGATGTTTTACATTAACAAACAAATTAAAAAAACAAACAAAAAAATAATTGTTATATTATTTGATATTGAAAATAAAAAAAACAGCATCTTTATATATCATCCTTTTAAAATGTAAGACTAAGGGATGGTGTCAATTTTACTGGCAATGCAATGGATGGAAACACAATAAAGAGATACAGTACAATGTTGCAACACATTTTCTGCATTACAAGTTTTTTTTTTTTACAGTGATTAAAGAGAGCATGGAATTTGAACAAAATGCATACCAAAATCAAAGAGAAATAAAAGTTTATTAATACCTCTTCATGTACAGGAGTAGAGTTGAATGGATTGGCAGAGAAGCTGACTTAAACTTACACAGAGAAACGCTGTTGCTGTCAATCATTGTTTACTACACAAAGTAATGGTGAAGGGACTAATCGAATATGCCTATTGATTGAAGTTTTGCGAAGAAATGTCATGCTCCCTTATAAAGTATTTTGTAGTATTTTCGAAATACAAAAATACGGTATTTTATTTTGATACTAGTTGTGGCTTCTGAATTTTGTTGTTTATTTTGATGCTCATAAAATTAATGTATTTGGTATATTATTTAAAAATACATTTTAATGCCTATCCCTGGTTACTCTGAATCTTGCATGCTTAACCGACTATGATTCAGCTTTGTGATTTGTTTGCTGAGAACTATTAAACTTCTTGCACTTGGATCTAATCTGTCTCCATGTCTTAACCACCACCATCATCACACATACTGGATAATTTGGCAGTTCATTCCGCTGTGGCAACCCCTAATAAACAAAGGGACAAAGGCAAGGGAAAATGAATTAATAATCATGTTTTGTTGCCCAATATTATTATAGTGAATTCCATAATAATTCCTGTTTATACTGCTAAATATGGCAAAATGCAATGTGATTACTGTGGAATAGAAAAAAAAATGTTTTTAAATTAGTAAATATTTAGTTTACTAGTTACAATAGGATTTCTAATTATTAACATAATTTCTGAATGAAATGATGAAATATAATTTCTATACGCCTGCTTGTTTATTTATTTATTTATTTATTTATTTATTTGTTTTATTTTTAGCATAGTCCCTTTATTAATCTGGGGTCACCACAGCGGACTGAAATGCCAACTTATCATACACATGTTTTACGCAGCAAATACCTTCTAGCTGCAACCCATCTCTGGGAAAAATTTATTTATTTATTTATTTATTTATTTATTTATTTATTTATTTATTTATTTATTTATTTATTTATTTATTTATTTATTTATTTATTTATGTTAGCTTAAAACCACACACAGTTTCGGTGTTTTGGCTTATAATCATCTTGCAATTTATTTTCTGAATAATGTGGTGCAAAAATTGAAATGCCAAATGACAGAAAAGCTTTCTGTTTGAAGAATTGAAGTTTTGACACATGATAACCCTTCAACTAATGTTTGCTATTTGCACCTAACAAAAAGCAAAGATTTCAATCAATCAATCCATCAATCAATCAAACAAATAAATAAATGCAAATATTTGGCCAGCTATAACATCTTGCATGCTTTACTTACCACAAAAAGCAAGTCAAACAGGTTTGGAACAACATGAGACTGAATAAATGATGACAGGGGTCTGTGTTTTTTGCGTGATCTGTCCCTTGAAGGCCACGGTGTTCAGTTCTAAAATTGGAGGTTGTTGTTTAAAGTGACTGCGCTGTGCCAGATCTGCCTGGATGGATCCCAGTGTCACTGCAGACTGTAGCAGGGCAGCCTTATGTCACTTTTAATGACAGCTGCCATTTTTCTCACAGACTTGGCCACTTGTTCTTCTTCAGAGAAGGGTAGAGATGCAAGTGTGTGGGTTTGATACTGAGCCAATTCCACCTCATTGAATCATACCGCAAAGCTATTCTGCTTCATTACCTCAAACACTCACTTTCACTTCCTCTCAGAACGCCTTTTTCTAGTCTTTCCCCTTCACTTTACGGTAACACCTATGTGGCCCACCAGCTATTATACATTCCTCAGTCCGTTTGTTGGTGTGGGGCAGTGTGACTTGGTACACAGCAGGTGTTACAATTACAGTAAAAGTAGAAAAGAACCTGTTGAACTTCCAGCTTTAATTTAATGGCGGAAGCGCAAAACATGTACTCTAAAAGCAAGTGCTCTGCTG